CCCCAAAACCCCAAAACCCCAAAACCCCAAAACCCCAAAACCCCAAAACCCCAAAAGGGGGGTTAGGCATTGAAAAATGGATTTTTTACGACTAGGTTTGGTTCGGAAGAGGGTTTATAGGCTTTGAAGGTGTAGATAGTGGTATTTTAGAGCAAGGAGGGTGGCTTGGTGGGGAGTACTTTGTGATGATGGGAATTTCTTGTTTATTTAGATTTTTTTTGAGAAAAATCTGAAAATTTGAGTAGATATTAATGGGAAAGCTCAAGAGAAAGCCTAAGGAGAAAGCAGTCTTGTCTTGCTCACATCAGACTTCTACTAAAAATTATAAATATCATTATTCTATCAAGCTCATCTTCTAAAAATACTCCCATTCTCTTGTAAGTTATACTATGTAATAAATCCTAACCTGAAGACCAAAGACTTAACAATAGCAAACTCAAACTAAGAAAATATTTTATAGGCGTTATTTTAGCTAAAAATGAGCATTAACTGCTATATTCATCCCAGTATAAACTTGTTAATAACATTGCTAACTCTTTAGATGCCTCTGTAAAATATATGCCTTCTTATAGTCAGCCCTTGCCACTATTCCAAACTCAGTAGAAATTAACAAAAGGTGTATATAAATAAGCTAGCACTTCAAATGAACTTGTAAAAAATCTTTAAATGTATCTACCATCTAGCTCTAATACAATGGAAGCCTGTCTCTTCTAATTCGAACTTATTTCAAAGAAGAGGGCAGCCATTTTTATTCAGAGGATCCATTACTAAGTATTATATATGTTATTCATACGAGTTCAGCAGGCAAGTTAACTGCTAAATTCCCTGAAATTTAACAAAGAAAATGCGGTTTGCTCTTAAATTATCTTCGATCGTAAAATATTTACTTGGAAGTCTGCTGTTAACAACTTTTCACAATGTCAGAGAAGGAGTAAATTAAACTTTAAGAGTAGTTGATCTCTGCCTAGGTTTAGCATTCTTCACTTATAGTTTGATAGAATCCTCTTGCACAAAAAGGTGCTTTATATAACTAATTTAACAGGGAGTTATGACTATATAATTTAGTTAATTAAACCTTCACTTGGTTTAAATAAATTTTTGATATAGAAAAATTTATGCAAGGTTGACAAATAACTTAGCGTTCTTAAAATCAATAATAGTCTCTAGATTGTTGAATAGGCTTAAAATCTCAGCAAAATGATAGAAATTATCATAAGATGCCATGCCCTATTCTTGGCCGGTCCCTTGTAACCTCTCAGGAAGAAGAAATCAGCACTTATTCCTACCAGATTCTTAAATCTGCTGGATAGGTTGCAGTATAAAGACCCCTCTAAATTTTTATTTTTGCTGAGGAGCCTAAATCTTATCAAAAGTTAATATACAGTGCAAGTATATTAGGTTAAAACTAGAGGCAAATTTATTCCTGATTTAAGAATTCTTCTTCAAAATTTCCCAGATTTCTTAAGAGAGCCTTATCTCTGAGGGAATAATTATGGCTTGAGACTTTGGGTGTTCAAATTGAGATTAGAGTTGCTGCAAGATGACAGGGTCAAGATTAGATAAAACGTTCTTGATTAATTGAGTGGAAGTATATAGCCTAAACTTTGAAATCTTTTGTTCCATTACATAAAAGTCCCTTAAATTTCTTATAAACCCTTGAAGCTCATCTAGGCTTGATTAGTATACTGGTGCAGCTTTTAAAAAATTTCATGACTAAATAGAATCGATGTTTTCGATTCTTTTAATATTTTATGATTAAATTTCGAATTAATAATATTTCAAATCCTTTCACCATTTTATGTAGTTCATAAGACTCCCTCTAAAACTATTGGACCAGATTTTCCAGAGATATTTATACATAATTATAAGGTTTACTGGTCTTTATAGTATCAATGATGTTAGTGAGCCATGCTTTAGCTGGAGTTGAGAGCAAGAAAGTTGCCAGCAGGATTCATTCCTCTCCTCTTGCGGCTGAAATTACTTTTAGCTTTAGACATTCTCTTATTTTTCCGTACTCGAGTTATCTTCTTTCCCTTCTTTCTCTTTGAGGGTGTAGTACAGTTTGATTTATACCTTTTACTAAATCTACTAAGCTTCCTCATACCATCTGATGAATTGGAAATTATTGATGAAGAGGCCATATTAAACTTCCTGTGGTCAAGTTTAGGGGTGCCTAGTCCTCCGTCTAACTTAATCTTTACTGAGTGCTGGCGTGATTTAGATATAGAATAAATCTTGAGCTCTTGAACAAAAATGTCTTTTTCATCTTCCCGAACATGCCCTTTGTCTAGCACTAGCAGACTTGTCTTTGTTTCGCTATAATGTCTATTGTTTCAAGGTCTTGCAATAGCATTGTGCTCATCTGGGATTTCCTATAATTTGTTAAATCAGAATTTCATTCTTGATTCGATTGAAATAAAGTCTGAATATTCAAATTTTAATGATGCTTCGATCAACTCTTCCTAATTTGTGAGTTATCTCGCAATATCAATATTAAAATATCTCTTTATTAAGCCATATAAGCAAAGACCTACCTCCATTTCTTTGGCAAACATAATAAATTTCTATACTATCAATTATTATGAAGGTCTGGGGTTTTGGGGTTTTGGGGTTTTGGGGTTTTGGGG